GCTTATTTCTTTTTGTGAACAGTGGATGTTGGATAGTACATGGTTTCTTTAAAAATATATATAAAAAGTTAGAAACTTAAAAAATGCAAAAGGCATCTCATCTAAACCATCTCATAATAGCAATGAAAATTATGCATGGTCAAGAAAGATGGTTTTCGAACTGTAGTCAGTTGAGCTTCATTATCTTTTTGGAACTTACCGAATAAAGATCTCAATCATCAGTTAACACCTTGTTTTATGTCACCAATAAAAATGACTCAGATTTGCTATGGATGAAGAGAAACAGGGTTTAAAACTTGATTGAACTGGTTTCAGAACTAATTCCCAACGTTCTTTCAATGTTAATGCAATAAAGCAAATACCTGTTTTGCATGAGCACAATGTTACAAATAAATCACACAAGAACAAGAGGTTGTCTGTTGCTTGGAGAATTATTTGTTTGATACCAAGCCTATAAACATAAACTGTCTAAGGGATTGAATTTACTTTGTTCTGGATCTGTGATTTTTTTGTGTGTACAGTGTTCTCTATGTAAGATGGTGTAAATATGCCTTATACTGTTTTATTATTGCACCAACAATGTTCATCTATTAGTGCTTGTCAGGATTATTTCTGTGAAATGCAAACCTATGGCAGATTGTGAAAACTGGTTTGATGGTCTGAAAGTTTCTGTTATGTTAGTCACTAAAACTGGAGAAAAATAAAAGAGACTAATGTATTTATTAAAAGACTCATCTGGTAGATTTTCTTGGCTTTTGTTATCTTTCCATTTTAAAAATAGAATCAAGCAAATTTTTACTTTTTCTTTAATGTTTTCATAACTATTCTGCTGAAAAAACCCAACCCAAAACAAAACAAAAAACATGTTTCAAGAGTGGGTGAAAAATATTTAGAGTAGTGCCATTTAATTGGAACCACCATGCAGACTCTCCAAGAGGGAGAAAGTTGCGCTAAGAAGCAGTGGGGAATGAACTGAAAAATTGAGTAGTTTTACTAACAGAGCAGAAAGCATTTCCAATTTGACAAGTTCACAAAAATCAGCTTAGAAATAGAAGATTTAAAATATCACAGCAGAGTGCGCTACGTTTACAAATGAAATTTTTGTTTGAATAGTCAACTCTATACGACAAACCTATTTTCTCAGCCCAGATAGAGGAAAATCAATACCTTTCTCATTACCACAACTGTGGTTCAGACAGCCATAGCTGGAATGGGTAAGAACTGCTGGAGTTTGCAACAGAGCTGCTGAGTTCTTACAGACTTGGAATTGTTATTGCGTGCACACACGACAACATACACATACACATTTAGAAAGGTCCATCCCCATACGTATTCTGTAGCAGGCACTGTACAGTTGTGTCAGAAGATAAGTTTTACACTTGATGGTAACTGTAACTGCTATAGCTAAAGTGAAGAGGACTTTTTGTGCTGCAGTTTCCAGAGTTATTCCTAATGCCTGTGTTCCTTTTCAGTCCTCGAACAGGCTACTTTAAGAAAAGGCTGCATACTTTTGACAGCAGCTCAGCAACTTCATTCACCTTTTTTTTTTTTTAGCCTGTCTAGGGCTAATTACTCTCCTACTCAGTTAATCAGTTGGTTCCAACATTTCATCTTTAGACAACATATTTTTAACTTGAAAGAGTATACCTGGGATAAGTCTACTCTGAACTGATGCAGTCCAGTGTGAAATCATTTGGCTTCTCAGCTCTGCTGTTATGTTCCTTGCTTGTTTCTTTCTCTGGGGTCCAAAAGACTCATTCCTTCTTTTGAAAATTTCTTACTTCTTAGACATGTTTAGCATTTGTTTTCTCTCTCTTTTTAAATCTTTTCTTCCTAGTCTTTACCTAATGAAATTTCCAGCTATTTAACCATGATTTACTAAACTCCAGTGGATACAATTCTGTTTTTATTTAGTCTGAAGTTAGGTTATTATTGAGAGCTTTTTAAAATCTCACACTGAATTTTCTTCTGGTGTTTTGAATCTGTCTTCATTGCACTTCTCACACCTTATGCTGTTTTCTGTTACATTCATTTAGGCTAAGTTTCCAGCTGGGATAATACCTTTTGCGTTCAAACAGCATCTTGAGCCTTCCCATTAAATCTTGCAAATTGAGTTTGGTGATTTGTTTTGCTGCCTTAGTTATTCTTGGTAGTCGAGGCACTACCTGCTTGTGGTATGCTTAGGTGTTCGTTTGACCTGTCCATCCATTTTAATTTGTCTGTATACAGAGCTTTTAATTTTTTTTCTTTTAAAATACTACCTAAAATTTCTCAGAACATTTTTAATTCATTTTTGAGGAAAACAGAATATTATCTTAAAAATTATTTTAATACATGGGCAGCATAATATTTATGATAACCTTAACTGCTTTCCATGTGTTCATGAGGCATGTGAGTGATGTGGTAGATAAACTACATTGCTGTTACTTAGCAACCACACCAGCACTGTAAGATGAAGTGGTTTGGTTTTGGAATTGTGCTGTCCTCCTTCTTTCACGGTGAAAAATTAGGATGTGTTATAGTCAGAGAGAGAGTGGGAGAAAACAATGGCTCCTGTGAATCCTTTGGTCATATTCTCTAATTCCCATCACATTTTTCATCCAGTTCACCCAGTTACAGCTTCAACCCTATCTATATGGTTATTAAACTACAGTTTTCAGATTCCAGCCTGTAATTTGGGAGAAAGCAAGCTGATACATTTGGTGGAACAGAGGAGCTTGTGGGCAGTGAGATGGCTGAGGTTGGTAGAAAATTCCCAGGTGTTACAAGAGGATTGTGTATTACAAGCACATGGGGGGTTTGATTGCTTCCCTTTGTCTTCTGTTTTTCTTATTTTTCTGTGATAGCTGCTTTTTCTTTTTCCATTTCAGTCTTCTTTTTCTCTTCTTTCCAGCTGTACACTTCGTTACACACAGGAGTAGTCTACCATAGGAATCTGTATTTCACAAGAGTAACATATCAGAGTCTGCTGTCCATGTTTATTCACTATAAAAGTTAATTTTAAGTTAAATTGGCACCCATTCCTCATAATAGATGTCATGGGTGCCAATTTTTATATACTTTATTGTTCTAACTGAACAGATGAGGAATAGAGATACAGTTTTGCCATGATGTTTAAACCTTTAAAATGTGTGAACAAATATCAGAATTACAAGGTGGACTAACTAGTCTATTGCTGAAGGAATATTTCTGAGCCTTTCTTCCACTAAAAAAAATTTGCCACTCTAAGAATAATTGAAATTAATTCTGAAATAGAATATTAAAATTCACTTTGAATGAATTCAAAAAATGCTAAATTGGATAAAAAGCATCATTTTCTGTCCTTTTTTTTAAAAAAAAAATGCTTATGCAAAATCATTTGAATTACTAATGCTGTCTTTGTTCCAGTAATGATATTCAAAAAATATACTTCCTAATGGAGGTGGAAAACCCAATGTAGTATATTTGGTAATTAGAGGGCAATGTTAAGTTCTCTCTCTGAGTGACTCATGCCCTGAATCAAACTCTTTAGGATGCTCAGAAATTCTCAAGAAACCTTTAGATTTTTGCAGAATCACACCACTGGTATGGCTTACCATAAATATAACATTCACACATTACTTGTGAGCTTAGATATTGCAGGCCATCAAGTAACTTCTTCTTTTCCAGGATCTGTTATCTAGAAGTAATTTTCTTTCATATTTTCCACTCTACTCCTGTCTTTTCCTTTGTTATTATGGACATGCATGCAATCACTTTCACTTAAGAGGTTATCTGTTCCTTGCTTGAAGACATATATCCAAATTCAGAAGGGACAACTGTAGTCTTCACTCTGGAAAATGATGGGGGAAGCTGGGCACGTGGGGAATGTTGGTGGTTTGACTAACCTTCAGCACTGCTGGCAACAAGATGATATAAAGCACAAGCTGGAAGGCAAAGTCACATCACCCTACAGCTCATGCTCCCTTTCAGGTGGTCAGGCATCCAGCATCTTTAGCGTTGTCCAGTCATCCAATGAAGCGAGCCTCAAAGATGTTATTCACCGATAAATGAGCTGCTGATGCTGTCAGTATCCAGTTTGCCATCCACACCTGCTCTGTGTTGATACTGGAGCTGAATTGGTCATCCCAGTTCAGATATGGTGATGCTGGGCTGCACGAGGTTGGTGCAGGTAAGAGCTGTGAGAGCTCCTACTCACACAGTATGTCCCTTGATGGAGATATATTACTTACTGCATGCTGCTGTAGTGGATACCTACCTTCGGAGGTGCACCCTGCATCACTGTGTCTGAACTGGGACCATCGTTTTATTCTGATGGATACACAGAGAACAGCTCTCCTGTGGGACCACATCCTGGTATCCTTACATGTAGATCCACAGCAGAAGACACCTATCTCTGCTGCTTTAGCACACTGTTTCTTCTTTGAAGCTGGGCTTGTTACAATGTGAAATGGGGCGGTGAAAAAACAGTAAAAATGGTGCCCAGAAGAGAAACTCAGCCCTAACTATGCTCCCATCTGTTTGGAGGCTGGCACCCTGGCATTCCTCAGCTCCAGGCTTAGATTGTGTAAGACACATTTTGGAGAAGCACAAATGGAGTCAGTACAGTTAGGGATGAATATAAGAGAATAAATATTTGGGAATTTTTTCCTCCCCTAAGGATTCCTCTTCTTGCTGGGCCTTCTCTTCTCAGATAATAAGAAAGAAAAAGGGATTGTGAAAAACCATAATATACCAGATGGATGTAGTGGGAATTACTACATCTCTGTGTTGCATTGCCTTTTAAAATTCCTATATTTCTTCACAATGTAACTTTATGTTCCTTTATATGTAGAAAAGGGGAATGTAGAAATAGCTTGATGGGATTAGTTTCGAGATCCTAGATCATATAATCTTTCAAACACATATTAGATGAAGTTCTAGTATCGAGCATGTTGTGTTTCAATTACAATACAGTGTCATTTTTAGCAAGAAGTCACCCCAGAAAAAATGACTACC